GATATTAAATGAGTAAATAATTGATCTTGTGAAACAGAATAATAAGTTTTTTTCTTCAGCGTCTCGCGTTCTTCGACGTTGACGAAGTTAGACAGACGGGGTCGCGAATGCAAAAATCGAGAGGAAGGAAAGATCGGTCTGGTTGTGGTGCAGTCCACAAATAGAAATCATGATTTCCTTAGAAGCGTTCGTAAACCCACGTGCCACGCAGTCAGTCAAATATGTACCCTACGCGTGCATGTATGCACCTTATGTACGTATGTATAACGCGTGGAAGCATGCGCGCGTATCGGCACTTAGCGCGACCATAAGGCGACAGAAGCTTTTCAGTATTCTCAACATATGGGTAGCAGGGAAACGGTCGTTACGGATAAAGAATATGGGAAAGAAGGAGCGAAGAAATTAACGCTTCTTCGGGTTGAACAAACAGAGATTCTCTTTTGTTATCAACAAATCTGCGGAATTTATGTTTTATTTAATAAGGAGAGTGTCACAAAATTTTAGATTGTGTCATTAACGTGACACGACGAAGAACAAAGATTTACACGCTCGAGTTTGTACTTAAATATTTCATTTATAGGACACTATATAATGTTCTGACGAAAGGAACATTATTTCTGCATCTGGTGCCAATTCGGTGTAGTTTCTGCAGAAAATAAAACGCGTGCACATGTCCTAGACTGGATAAGAAGCCTCACGCGAGGTTCCGAGACCGAAACGAGGCGAGTAAGTAATTCTCGACAATTACAAAGTGAGGTCATCTACGAAATTTATGGTACGCGTCGCCGCAGCGAATTAATTTAATAAATTCCTTCCCCGGTCATGCTGATACATCGTGTTGATCTTCTTTCTCCGCTTCTCCTGCTTTCTATTGTAAAGTGATCTTCTAAGTTAAATACCATGTCTGTTATTATATCTACTCTTCAATAAACTCAAGGAATTAGTAAATCCCCCATCGTGGTTTTTCTGTTTCATTCTTGATTACATCTGAAGACCTAATTGAAAATATCCTGAAAGAACGTTAGTCTCTTTTTATAATAAAAAGAAAAAATAATTCCTCGTTAAAATGCTACGGGTTTACGTTTATTTATAATACCTTTTCTTATCTTCTTTGCTCTTCGACTACGCGTTACATGCAGGACGCTCGTCGTTCTTCTCCTTCGACTTGCTTTCGCGAGGAGAACAAAAGAATCTAAAGGTTTAAACGTTTCATGCTGGTATAACCCGCATGTCGGCTATCTTATCAATAAACATTACCAGCATGACAACGTGGCCGAGCGCTCTGACGGTTTGAAGCCGATTACGTTTGCAGAAAAAGGATTTTGGCCTTTGCTACTAGGAAAAAAATCTGCGTTTTTTGCATGCTAGATTCGTCACGTACCGTGAATTATAATTGCATATTTCAGAGAACGTTATCTTGAATTTCTAATGCCTGATGCATATTTGAAACCGCTTAGTTTAGATGCGATTTTAAAGCGATTCTGCGGTCAAGTCAATCTAGGATTTAAATCAGGCATTATCATTGTTTTTTATTCCGCACTGATTTTGAAAATATTCTTATTGACATTTTCAGTGTATAAAAAATTAAATAGCATTGGTATTGTATTCATTATCACATATAGACATTTTGCTTTAAACACATTTTATGTTCCATAGTTAGTGAAACAAGTATAAGTATCTATGTATAGCATATGGAAATTGTATATAAAATCCGGCATATTTATTAATATAATTGTACGTATTGAGTCGACAATTTTGTCATCGAACAATTTCTTCTTATGGGAATTTCCGAGGACTTTTCTCGGATATTCGTACACTTTTCCCACGATCCTTAGGGCTATAGTGGGGTGCCTAGATACATACATACATACATACATACGTGCGTTTATCCATTTCCGCGGTGAATTCTCGCCGATCCAGGTAAAAATGAGAATCTTAACGATCACAATGGCCAGGTGGGACACTGTCCTAAGGTCATGTGGCATCGGAGATCCCCCATCCTTACTCCTCCCGGAAGGATCCTTCGAATCACTCGAATAGGACGTGGAAACTGTTTTTGTGCAAATAAATCACTTTGGAAAATGTCTTTGGGGTCGTCGAACTAACGGTTTTTCGAGAACGTATAGAATGACATTTGTTTGTAAGAAGTGCTATAATCCCTGTTTTACATCATAATAAAATTGATGAAATCCATTGACGAATATAAGTGAAAATATATTTCATTACGATTAGTCGATCATTTTATTAATTCGTTCTAACAAAATTATCTTGCTCGGTACATGAATTGATTGGTTGAAATTCTTTTGTTACAGATTCGCATAAAACTAGGACACTAAATTTGCTGATGTGATCTCACGGAACGATGAAGACGAGCTTCGGAATGAATTTTTGAAAGTTGATTTTTAAGTAAGAATGGCAACGATTTGTACTTATCTCGCACGAAGTACTTCCCCAGGGACACTGCCCAGATATTATATTTGACAATGTCCGTGCAGCTCATTCTTTATATCTCGTTTGTGGCATACGAATAAAATGGAAATTAAAATTGCAGGGTTAAATTAGAAATAGTACAGAATGCATGGAAGTGATCATTTGAATGTTATGATACCTCAGCGAGGATCTCAAATCTCTTCTTAATGTACTTGAAATTTTATACAGAACATTTGACAAACATTCAAAATAATAGTATTCAAANGATTATTATATGACTAATTGTAAGGAGACAATTTTTTTACATTACATTGGATTGAGACTTACGATTGGGAGTGTGCATCATAATCATAAATTCCAATCACTGTATTTAAAATTGGAAGACCAAATGCAATCAAAGAATTTTTATATACAAATCGTGCCTTGAACCAACGAAATTATTTTTTCTACTTCGTATTCTTCTAAATACGTATTTAACTAACATATTTCCGCGCTATTTATATACGTAGTGTACATCGTCGACCAATAAGCTATTGGGAGATAGGCTCTGAGATATTGATATCGCGTGCTATGAAAATGGGAACTGTTGCTCCCACGATATTATTTAATTAATTAATGATAAGGCCCGTTCGATAAGTATTACCATTAGGCAGGCAATTACGCGATTTTTTGACTCTCCATCGTTCAGTATTAGGAGTACATAACGGGAAACGAGTTACTTAAATCAAAACTGTATGATATTGTTGTAAATTATACTTTTATTGGATTTTCACAAATATTATACGAATATTACAGAGGATTGCCAAAATATTAAATTGAACTATTTCTAGCAAGATGTATAATCAATATCTGATAACAAATTCTAAGAAGCAATTGCAATAATTATTACAGATATATTCAGAAGTTTAATTAAATTACATTCAATTATGAGGTCACGTTTTAATTGTTAATAATAAAATATTTATTCTATAATACGTTATCAAATATTTTGGTAATCCACTAGACCACATATGAAGTAAAAATTCCTTTGTATACTTATACATATATTTTGTCGACGTACATATACCTTTCATGAATAAAAAAGGTACTTGGTGAATTAATGTTAAGATCAACGACGCTTCGGCACGTGTTTCGCTTATTATAATAATTATAACCTGAGCAGCAACAGTTCTTTTGTGTACGATATACGTTTTGTGGCAAAGAAAGGAATTGCGTACAAAAGTCTCAACTATTTTTATAAATTATTCTGCGCTCGCGCGACGACGAATAAAACCCTGTAAATATACGTGCCTTATTAATTAGGATTGACGTAAGAATATCTTATTTTTTACTTCTGTATCTGCTGTAACAATTTTTACGAGATATTTAAAATACATTTTATTATTTATAAAGTTCTGTTTTCGTTCCTTTCCTTAACACGTAAACCCAAACATTGTAATGACATGTTGATGATGTTCTCTCAGGTAATTTCAATTGTGTTTTTCTGCTATTATCAATTCTATTCTAAATACAACTTGAGAACGAAAATGAATTAAGAAAATCTAATGAGCTAGCCATGAAATTCTGCAAGAATGTTACCTACATCGATGCGCTTTAAATATGTATTGAAACTTACGTGAAATAATGGCCAATCATTTCCTCGCTGAATAATAAATGCGGTTCAATTGAAATGAACCCGCTTTACTTTATAACAGTGTGCATAATGCTTGCGTCATAAATATTAGAGTTTTTTTTATTCCTGTGTCACGTGTTCTGATGTGAATACTTATCTTTCTTATTTTTAAATTTTCTTGGCTTAATAAATTTACTGATTAAATCATTCAATATTATTACATATTAAATTCACGATAATTAATCATATGATTGAATTCTGTCTGTAAAGAAAGGATGATTGCGTTACCTACCGAATTACCTTACGAAACAATTTTCTCTTATGCGTTTGGGAACAATCGAGCTGGTCAGGAAGCGGCAATAAAGGGTCGATCCATCGATAATTTCGTAATTTTGTGAAATTGGTTTTAGCCAAACTTCCCCTTCGTTCGCTCTCCATCCTTCTTTATCTGTCTACCTCTCTTCGTCGTGTTTTTTATTACTCTGGAGGGTCGATTTCCGGGCACGTTCCGCCTAGGGGGTGAAGGAACAGGTTGCTACGTCACTTCCGGACGTGTTCGTTTCCAGCTCGACGACCCTCGCAACTGCTTTACTTTTTATATCCCTTGTGTCACTATTATCTAAATTGATTATTGATCTTCTGTGCAATGCAAGGAATTTAATTATTATTTATTTGGAAATCTTATATGGAATTGTTTTTATTTAATTATTTCAGATTTTCGATTACGATTCTATTTTTATTCTTTATATTAACATGAACAGTAAAATAATTATTATATATTATATTTACTGCAAATTTCTTCGACATTGACCTAAAGAGATAGGAAGAGTTAGGGTGGTCAGTGCCGCACGACTATGAACTGTTTGTCATCGATTCAGTTAGCTTACGTGACAGACGAGAATTGAATAGAATTAACTAGCGAACTCAGTGATTTAATCAAACGAATGAACCGTCAGCTGACTCTCGGCTCGTGTTGATCTTTAAATTTATGCATATTCAGATTTAAATTTTATTTAGATTTAATGTATATTTTGCTAATGCATGTATTCAAATTTGTCGAAAATGTGATTCATCTGAGTTTTCCTCCAGAGTTTATTAAATACGGAATTATGTACATTCGGCTGACAGTAGATATTATTATATCCTCCATCTTAAGAGATTTATTTTAATTAATTTTTCTTAGTAAATAATTTTCGCCTCTGATTTAATTTCTATTTCTGTGGTAAACGTCATTGTCTTTATTACATTACGGTTTTAGCACGATGAATGTAAATGGTTCCGATTAATTCCAGAAAACCTGGCTGACGATTTGCGATTCAGATGAACAGACGAAGTTGAGGTCACGGTATAATCTGTTTAAAACAACGGAAAAGTTTTACATACACGAAAACGTAGATATATACATCAGGCCGCAGTGCATATAAAAGGGAAACCAGTTTTGTTGCTGTTTATCCTTAGTGGTTCTTAGTCTTCGCTTGTTCAGTGTGCTGATCGCGCATAAAAGGTAGTTATCAACACATTCTACTCTAATTTTATTTTAAACACAAGTATTTAACTTGCCGTTGGATAAAAGTTTGAAGAAGTTTTTTTTTTTATATGTATTGAAACTTACGTGAAATAATGGCCAATCATTTCCTCGCTGAATAATAAATGCGGTTCAATTGAAATGAACCCGCTTTACTTTATAACAGTGTGCATAATGCTTGCGTCATAAATATTAGAGTTTTTTTTATTCCTGTGTCACGTGTTCTGATGTGAATACTTATCTTTCTTATTTTTAAATTTTCTTGGCTTAATAAATTTACTGATTAAATCATTCAATATTATTACATATTAAATTCACGATAATTAATCATATGATTGAATTCTGTCTGTAAAGAAAGGATGATTGCGTTACCTACCGAATTACCTTACGAAACAATTTTCTCTTATGCGTTTGGGAACAATCGAGCTGGTCAGGAAGCGGCAATAAAGGGTCGATCCATCGATAATTTCGTAATTTTGTGAAATTGGTTTTAGCCAAACTTCCCCTTCGTTCGCTCTCCATCCTTCTTTATCTGTCTACCTCTCTTCGTCGTGTTTTTTATTACTCTGGAGGGTCGATTTCCGGGCACGTTCCGCCTAGGGGGTGAAGGAACAGGTTGCTACGTCACTTCCGGACGTGTTCGTTTCCAGCTCGACGACCCTCGCAACTGCTTTACTTTTTATATCCCTTGTGTCACTATTATCTAAATTGATTATTGATCTTCTGTGCAATGCAAGGAATTTAATTATTATTTATTTGGAAATCTTATATGGAATTGTTTTTATTTAATTATTTCAGATTTTCGATTACGATTCTATTTTTATTCTTTATATTAACATGAACAGTAAAATAATTATTATATATTATATTTACTGCAAATTTCTTCGACATTGACCTAAAGAGATAGGAAGAGTTAGGGTGGTCAGTGCCGCACGACTATGAACTGTTTGTCATCGATTCAGTTAGCTTACGTGACAGACGAGAATTGAATAGAATTAACTAGCGAACTCAGTGATTTAATCAAACGAATGAACCGTCAGCTGACTCTCGGCTCGTGTTGATCTTTAAATTTATGCATATTCAGATTTAAATTTTATTTAGATTTAATGTATATTTTGCTAATGCATGTATTCAAATTTGTCGAAAATGTGATTCATCTGAGTTTTCCTCCAGAGTTTATTAAATACGGAATTATGTACATTCGGCTGACAGTAGATATTATTATATCCTCCATCTTAAGAGATTTATTTTAATTAATTTTTCTTAGTAAATAATTTTCGCCTCTGATTTAATTTCTATTTCTGTGGTAAACGTCATTGTCTTTATTACATTACGGTTTTAGCACGATGAATGTAAATGGTTCCGATTAATTCCAGAAAACCTGGCTGACGATTTGCGATTCAGATGAACAGACGAAGTTGAGGTCACGGTATAATCTGTTTAAAACAACGGAAAAGTTTTACATACACGAAAACGTAGATATATACATCAGGCCGCAGTGCATATAAAAGGGAAACCAGTTTTGTTGCTGTTTATCCTTAGTGGTTCTTAGTCTTCGCTTGTTCAGTGTGCTGATCGCGCATAAAAGGTAGTTATCAACACATTCTACTCTAATTTTATTTTAAACACAAGTATTTAACTTGCCGTTGGATAAAAGTTTGAAGAAGTTTTTTTTTTTATAAAAGTTCGAACGCTATATTTCAATAATACTTTTTGGTGATAATTGCCAGCACACAGCCATGGAGACGGAGACAGCGACAACCATGTACACTTATGTGCAATCGGCACTTTTCTATTCATCCTTATCGCTTGCGACCGTTTTGGCCGCGCTTTACTTCTACTCGGAGAATTTGCGTAGCGTGAAGATGGGAAACAAACTTCCAGGTATGTGTATAATGTAAGAAACAGCAGTTTTTATTAAAATCGAATGATATCAAACAGTGATATCTTCGTTAATCATTTTTATTAATGTGTCACAGCTTTCATATACGCTGTAATGATAGCTAGACTAATCTCATGCGTTTAGAAAAAATTTGATGCGTAAAAGAATACGAAGAACGCATCTAATGCTAATATGATAAAAGAAATCTCAACTAACATTTTATTTCTGAAATTGATATCTCAAGAGTTTTATTTTGCATATAAAAACTGATTTGTTCTGTTTCAGGACCGAAGAAGTTGCCAATCATAGGGAACGCGTTGCTGACAGTGGGTGTGAATCCGAATCAAGTTTTGGACAAAGTTCTTGAATATGACGTTTACGGGCCGGTCGTTCGAGCTTTTCTGGGTTGGAAGTTAATCGTCTTTCTGTACCATCCCGCTGATGTTGAGATCATCCTCAACAGCTCGGTGCACATCGACAAGTCACCAGAATACAGGTAAAAAATATTCCATACTATTAATTTCAATTGTTCGAGTACAGGATTTATAAGTCACTAAACATGAATTTTGAAATATATAGTTTCCTGTTTTTCTTCTACTTCATCCCATCGTTTTAAAAATAATGAAAGAAAATGGAGCAATTCTCATTTTCTTATAAAAATAATTAAGAATATTAATGAAATTCGCATAAAGATCTCATCTTCTGTAATAGATACTTCGAACCGTGGTTGGGTAATGGTTTACTGATTAACACCGGTGATAAATGGAGGAGGCATAGAAAAATCATTGCACCCACGTTCCATCAGTCTGTACTGAAAGGGTTCGTACCGCTGTTCTTCGAGAACAGCCGCGACTTGGTGCATCGTTTGAAGGAACAAGTAGGAAAAGAGTTCGACGTGCACGACTATCTGGCGTCGGTCACCGTAGACATTCTGTTGAGCACAGCGATGGGCGCGAAATGGAGAACCGGACCTGACAGATACAAGTCTAGCCACGATTACGCCATGGCTGTGATGAAGTGAGTAGTACAATTATTTACAATTTATTTCTTGCTGCTGTTTTTTTTAAGATTGAACTTCTAATCTGTAAATTTCTTCAATGTAACAAAGTATATCAATGTCTGATTTCACTCTTACAAAATGCTACAAGAATTTCTTTTCGGAATATTTTTTTCTCTTCTTCTAGCACTTTTGTTAATAAACATTTTATATATTTTTAAATAGACTGTGCGACATCATTCACCAACGCCAGTACAAGCCCGACCTGCGTTACGACTTGGTGTTCAATCTCTCGAGTACGGCCAAGGAGCAGACTAAGCTGCTGGACATCATTCACGGCCTGTCGACGAGCGTGGTCAACAGGAGGAAGGCGGAAGTGAAGGAAATTGGAATCGAATCGCAGAAGCAGAAGCAGACAACGGAGAAAGTCGAGACTAACGTGTCCGAGAAGGATAGGAGCACTGGACAATTGCACTACGTCAAGGACGATTTGGATGAGCTGGATAACGACATCGGCGAGAAGAGAAGGCTCGCATTTTTGGATCAGATGCTCGACCTCTGGAGGAATGGCACGAAGATGACCGAGGAGGAAATCCAAGAAGAAGTAGACACCATATTGTTCGAGGTATGTGATAAATATTTATATTATTAGCATATTAAGCAAAGTTTGAAACTCTTTTCTCTGTCGTCCATACTAAGGAAATGCGTAATTCATTAAAAATAATGAATACAGGAATATTCGCAGATTGCGTCGATTCACTGTGCATTCATTTAAATACTGAAAATCGTGGGAAAATGATTTCAGTATTCCGTTAATTTACTCAGTGAATTGAATGCCTTTTCGAAGTTCATTTACAAGATAGTATAGAACAGTTATATTTGATTAATTCTTTACCGTATTGTTCCTTGTGATTAATGATGCCTCTGTCATTAACTATTAATAGCCAGTAATTACGAGTTTCATTATACATACGGTTGATTCGTTTAATTATTGAAGATGTTATGTTAGGTAAAAATTGTATAATGGAATTGTTAACATCTTATTTTTTGTAAATAAATATAATTATAATTTTGTTTCAGGGACACGACACCACCTCCGCAGGATCCAGTTTTGTCCTCTGCATTCTTGGAGTCCATCAAGACGTTCAAGTAAGTTCAAGGAAATATCCAACGAAATTTCTCCATTCAGTTTATTACTCTAATTTTGTTAATCACATTTCATATTGAACTAACGCTAAGAACAACTTATTCTGGACACTGTACACGCACGTATTACATATTATACGTATTTCGAACAACAAAACGTTCAGCTTCTCTCCTTCGTTTATTCGTCATTTCAACGTTGCTAAATATGCGATCATATCTTTGCGATCACTTGCCTTTTTCATACCGTTGAACACCATCTTCGTACCAGGGATGAATTGTTTCGGGAACTGTAGATACTGATCCAAATTATTTTCGTCCCATATGATATCCTTCGTTGCCATCGAATCGGTGTAAGAAAATCCAGGAGTAGCTGAATTCAAAACCGAATTTCATTTCGCACTGTATAAAATTTCATTGAACCGCGTATCGATGAAATTAGTTAAACATATAGAGTAACATTTAATTTGAAAAAAAAAACGACAGAGCAAACTTAATATGTAGAATTATTTATTATTTATTTCATACACGTATACGTACTTCCGCACTTCTTGCCAAAAATTCCGAACAGATTTGGCCCTATTCTGTGCTTTCCGTCCTTGACGGTTGTATGACACATCGCGCACATTCGCATGAACAATGTTTTGCCATTTTCCACATTTCCCATTTCTCACCGAATAATTTACAATTCAATTATCGAAGGTTACGTTCAGCGTTTTTATAATAGTCAAAGGTTAATAGCAGTTAATAGAGCTACGTTTTCATGGCTTGATCTTGGCTGATTAAAATAGCGTCTGAAGTAGCTCGATGATACAAACATAAGATTTCTAATAGATTTTCAAATATGGAATAAAATTTTTCATGTTGTACAGTAAATATCTGTTTCATAAATGTAAAAAAGGTGATATTAGTAGAAAAAAATAATTTAATGTCTGTTGCAGGCCAAGATTCATGAAGAAATGGACAGAATTTTCAAGGGCTCGAACAGACCTTGCACGTTTGAGGACACCTTGGACATGAAGTACCTCGAGAGAGTGATTTTGGAAACCTTGAGACTGTACCCACCAGTGCCAGCAATCGCTAGGATGATCAACGAGGACGTGAAAATAGGTAAATGAACGATGACGCTACTTACATAGCAATAAAATATTGACAGTCACATTAATATTTTTTGTTATTTTTTATAGTGACTGGAAACCATGTTATTCCAAAGGGTACTACGGTCCTGATTTCGCCGTTCAAGATCCATCGATTGGAAGAGTTTTACCCGAACGCCGAGAAATTTAATCCTGACAATTTCCTGCCAGAGAAAATGCAAAACAGGCACTACTACTCCTTCATTCCGTTCAGCGCTGGCCCCAGGTAAATCAATAACAATATGTAGATCGAAATATTTTTTATTCCTTTTATATATTTTTCCATAAATGCATGTGATCTGATAATAGGATAACAGAAAAGATGAAGTAGAATTTAAGCTTTAAAAAAGTGTATTTATCTTCTGCGAGGAGTTTCCTCTTTGTAAAACCGTAGACACACGTGTCCCATAGAATAAAATCGCGTATTTCTTTTTAGGTCGTGCGTGGGAAGGAAATACGCAATGCTGAAGTTGAAGGTCTTATTGTCGACCGTCTTGCGGAACTACAGAATCCTGTCGGACCTCACAGAAAAGGACTTCCGGTTGAGGGCCGACATTATCCTGAAAAGGGCGGACGGCTTCCGAGTTAAAATCGAACCGCGAAACAATGCCCCAGAGATCCGTGTTTAAACTTAATGTGATCTCACTTAGACGACTTATGATAAAATACCAAATAATTTTAATTATGTACAATAAATTATACAACGACAATTATAAATTGTGTATAAAATCAATTGAAGTGGAAAATAAATCACTACAATTATAACGACATTCGTTTGACAAATTATTCTCCATCCGTCATTAAACAGTTTTCATACGAATTACTCCGTTCTAACAGTATTTTATTGTTTTACATATTAGTTTCACACATCAGTTGTTCCTTATAAATCCGTGTTAAACATTTTTACAGTATATTTACATACGGAAAATCTTTCTAAGTTTTTCAATTACCGTCTTCACTCAGAATATCAATACATGCGTGTATAAATACGTATATATGTACAATCAACTACGAATAACAATTTATTTCTTATTATTATCTATCCTCGAGATATTTAATTCGCACTGATCATTAATTAAGTAATTTACACACATTACTAATACTTGCGTCGGTTTCCTTCCTCTTTGTGATGGAATAAAGAACGTTGCATATGATTATTAACGGTCACAGTTGATTGGCCGGGGGACTGTACACGGCGGGGTCTTTCTCCATCTCTCTCCTATTGTCTCAATCCGCAGAAAGGGAACCGGAAGTACGGGCGGCAATTTTATCCGCCCGTTCCTTCCTCCTCTTTGGTAAATCTGAAAGGAACTGTACTGCCCACGGGATAACGAACAGGACGTTCATTAGTAAAAGGGCAACCTGGCAGACGACGAAACTGTTGGTCCAATCCTTCAGGAACCCTGAGAAGACAACGAAATCTCGTTTGTAAGACGTTTCAAATCCCCTTGTCCATCTGCTCGTTACTAACAGTTCTGTTCACGCCTCAATTCCATCGGTAAGTTCATCGAATTGTTGAATGTATGAAAACTCTTGTTACGTCTTACTCACCGACTATAGGACCGAATAGTATAGAAATTATACCGCTGATGGCACCGCTAATTCCATAAGCCGAGGCAAATTTATCAACACTGATATCTTCTATAATTGCTAACGGCTGAGGAACCAGTAACCATGATCTGACCACTCCTATCACAGCTACCATCGCGAACGTTCCTATCAATGTACCGTTGTAAAACAAGTAACCTGAGAAATAAATAGTAAAACGATTAGACGAACGACAACTACCATCGATTAGAATCACAGAATCAGTAATTCTTGGACTTCCGATTAAAATCAATTTATTTGATTAATAAAAGTTCATTTATTTTATCGATCCAAGATTAAACAGCGTATTTGAGTTGCGTACCGGCTTTCGCGAACGCCATGCAGATCATCGCGACGAAGAATATATGTTTCGACTTGACTTTCACCAGGAGAGTGAAAATCGCTAGCAAAATCTTCGACACCAATTCGGCAGCAGCACCGATGGTGAGCGCCGTGGCCGCGTGGCTCTGCGTGTAACCGTTCTTCGTCATCATCAATGGCAACAGACTGGCGAACGTGAAGTCGCTAGACAGGACGAAGCTGATGCCGAAGCAAATGTTCAGGAAACCGATATTTTTCAACAACGACATCTCCAAAAAATCGTCTAGAATCCCTCTGTTGAAAAATGTTTATTGTATTTTTTTTTATATTGTAATTCATTGAAAATTTTCTGTGCGAAGTAAAATTTCTCTTAAGCAGGTAATGACACATGAAACGACTATACAGATCAAGAATAAGATTTGAGATAAAATTAATGTAGAAAATCGTCGTATATGTAAGTAAATGCGTCACGTACTGTAATGCACCTTCTTCATTATCCTTGTCATCCGTCATGGAAACTTGCACTCCTTTCTCGTTTCGCTTCTCCTTAGTTTTATCAATACGGTGTTGACTGACTTCCCCCAAGCTTCCAATACCGGACACCAAGTTCGCCAAACTCGTCGACGAGAACGCTGACAAGCGTCTCGTTAATAATTCACGCATAGACCCGGACTTCATCCGATTACTGATCCGCTCCTCGAACTCGGATATTGAAGCCACCCTCTTTGCGGGAGACTATTCGAACACAAAATAGCTTATGAATTATGTAACCATTTACTAGCGAATTTGGTATTATAAGATATTTCAATAAGAATCTTCAGGTTAAATAAATATGAATCTCGTTTTTTATAGAACTCACGAAATTAAAACATCTTTATATTTCAGTAAAATTTTATTCAATAAGCAGACCGTGAATTTTATATATTCATATTAAGAATTGAATGTAGTCTGTATAAACTTACTTTCAGCGTTTCAATCAGGAGAGGCACATGTTTCCCGCTTTCGCCCTTGAGACTCGTCAGGCTGCTCCATCTCGTTTTCGTGGGTACTCGTACCATGTCACTGTAACGTCGATCCGAGAGGACCATGTCCCGTAGCCTGCGTTCCTCTCTCGCTCGCGCCCTTTCCGCCCGGACCTCCTCCGGTTTTCTCGCGTGCCACTCGACGGGGTGCATCATCATCATGCCCGCGATAGAATTCAGGACGACTTGACTTTCACCAGGAGAGTGAAAATCGCTAGCAAAATCTTCGACACCAATTCGGCAGCAGCACCGATGGTGAGCGCCGTGGCCGCGTGGCTCTGCGTGTAACCGTTCTTCGTCATCATCAATGGCAACAGACTGGCGAACGTGAAGTCGCTAGACAGGACGAAACTGATGCCGAAGCAAATGTTCAGGAAACCGATATTTTTCAACAACGACATCTCCAAAAAATCGTCTAGAATCCCTCTGTTGAAAAATGTTTATTGTGTTTTTTTTTATATTGTAATTCATTGAAAATTTTCTGTGCGAAGTAAAATTTCTCTTAAGCAGGTAATGACACATGAAACGACTATACAGATCAAGAATAAGATTTGAGATAAAATTAATGTAGAAAATCGTCGTATATGTAAGTAAATGCGTCACGTACTGTAATGCACCTTCTTCATTATCCTTGTCATCCGTCATGGAAACTTGCACTCCTTTCTCGTTTCGCTTCTCCTTAGTTTTATCAATACGGTGTTGACTGACTTCCCCCAAGCTTCCAATACCGGACACCAAGTTCGCCAAACTCGTCGACGAGAACGCTGACAAGCGTCTCGTTAATAATTCACGCATAGACCCGGACTTCATCCGATTACTGATCCGCTCCTCGAACTCGGATATTGAAGCCACCCTCTTTGCGGGAGACTATTCGAACACAAAATAGCTTATGAATTATGTAACCATTTACTAGCGAATTTGGTATTATAAGATATTTCAATAAGAATCTTCAGGTTAAATAAATATGAATCTCGTTTTTTATAGAACTCACGAAATTAAAACATCTTTATATTTCAGTAAAATTTTATTCAATAAGCAGACCGTGAATTTTATTTATATTAAGAATTGAATGTAGTCTGTATAAACTTACTTTCAGCGTTTCAATCAGGAGAGGCACATGTTTCCCGCTTTCGCCCTTGAGACTCGTCAGGCTGCTCCATCTCGTTTTCGTGGGTACTCGTACCATGTCACTGTAACGTCGATCCGAGAGGACCATGTCCCGTAGCCTGCGTTCCTCTCTCGCTCGCGCCCTTTCCGCCCGGACCTCCTCCGGTTTTCTCGCGTGCCACTCGACGGGGTGCATCATCATCATGCCCGCGATAGAATTCAGGCTCATAGCGCCAATCACCAGTGCCGTTCCTGCGGGAATATACACGACGTGCCAATTTTAAAACATTGTCAACGCAAATGTCATGTCATATATGAGTCAATGAGAATAAAATGATATAAATATGAATTATTGTATTAAACATTATATGAAATCAATTTATAATGTGATGACAAATTATATGAAACGCTGTGCCAAAGACTCTATCAATTATTATATTAATCATTGTATGAAAGATCGTTTTAAGTCTGTCAATCAGTATTAAGCACTCACCCCTAAAACCGTACATTTTCATCATTCTCTCGATCCATATGGGATACGCGATGCTACCCAAGCCGATGATCACCTGAGACGCGCTCATCACCTAAACAGCAAGAAGTTTTCTAAAATAATAATGTCGAGGCGTCTGGCCATCGGCCCCGTATTTATCGCACGTACTGGCGCTCGTTTCTTCACGAAGTAAGCGTTGAAGTTCGTATTGCAGATGGTGATGAGTAGACCGAGTCCCATCCCTTGCAGGAAACTCAGAAATGCCATTTCGAAGACGTTCGTCACGAAAGCGAAGCAAACGTTTGGTACCGAGAAAAGAACCGCGCCGATCAATCCCACGGGTCTCATGGAGAACTTTTTTAATAACGTGTTTGTCATTAAACCTGTGACAGAAAAATCATGGTCGAATATATAAAATTATAATTATTTAATTCAGTATCTATTAAATGTCTATTTTCATAAGGAATGGGATTTTGAATTTTATTACGACTTCAAGGAACTATTTTTAAAATCTGTGATCATTTCAACAAACGACAACAGTGAAATCAACAGATCGTATCGTATCTTGCCATTTAATCGCGTGATGTTCGTTGTACTATTTGACTATTTGATACGATCACCAAGTTGTCAGCTAGTGTCAATAGTAGTTCCAACTGCAAGTAGCGAGATAATCTGTAAGACAGGGGGTGACGAACTTCTCCGTCGGTTACCCCATTACCGGACTTGAGCTGCTACCTGAACGTTCATGTGTCAAGTGTGTGTTATTTAAAAACAACTGCGATGTTCAAAGCTGTGAAATACAGCACGTTTAATTTATTTGTATGTACCATGTGTACACGTGCAGACGTGATTTTCACTTCCTGGCGCCCGATTATGTACACATTTATGATCGTATCAAATAAGCGTAACATATTCATTAATCTTCTGCCATACACGAGTATCATAATTTTCATTTAATGTAATTACATACTAAAAATTGTATCCCCTATCTAGAAATTCTTTCATTACATTTCTTATATTTTTGTTGTTTTGTTCTTCAACTTGCATAAGGCAGACACCTTCTTTTGTCAAATGACTAATAATAAGAAACGGGAAAGAGTTACGTAGATGTACATTTACTCACCAGAAATAGAGTATGTGATCATGAAAACGGAATTGAAGAGCGTCATCGCTGTACCAGCGTTACCAGTCTCCTCAAGTAAGTCGCCGAATACTATAGCAAACGACGTAGTCGGTCCAAATATTGTCAACTGCAAAACGATTTAAGAACACGTTTATCCTCGATGTCTCGTGTCACGAAAATGAATTTCTCTCGTAATAAATTATTTTTATCATTTTCAATCGAATACTGACAAACACTACTGTCATGGCAAGCGCAACAATCCACCCCCAACCACCGTCCGGCGCCAAGTCTTCCAACGTGATTTCGTCCTCCTCGTCCTCGGTCTCCTCGTTCTTTTGTGGCAACGAAACATTGTTTTGTAGCTTCTCGTTCTCGGTGAGAACATTTGTGGTCGCCCCCATTGTCGTCGCTCCATTAGTCTTAGCTACCGTCATATTTTTATCTGGTCCGTACGTGCAATTAGAAAATATTAAAATTCATTCGACTTATTCAGATGTTCTCGCTGCATTTAGTATGATCACTTTCAAAATGACAGAATTTCAATTCTATTTCTCTTTGTACATAAAATGTATTGTTAATATATAATTCATTTTTTAAATCATACAAATAAATATTAGTCGAATTAAAGTCTGTTGAATCTCGTATGAGACGACATTTCCAAATGGACTGTATCAGCTAAAAATCACTGAGCAAATAGAATGTAATTCCCACGTGATAAAAAAGAATCTTACCAATCGAATTTGTTTCAAACGATAGAAAAGCGAACAGTTACTAGTAAATCAATTTCATGAACGTGTACGTAATAGACGGCTGGATGGTATTCGACTGAACGAAACGGGGTACAAACCAATTCGAAGCCTCTCTTATCTATGTACACGATGTCGGTGTTACTTAAATACATGTCCTTAGAAGAGAATGAAATATTGCCGCCGCAGCATCTGGAATTAGGAAACAGTACCGAGGTGGGAATACGAGAAAAAAACATCCGATCTTAAATTTTGCATCATCGTGCCACGCTCAACTGATAACGTCGTCTGATAATAACATAAAAATAAAAACAACGTGGTAACTAGGCACGTGCTCTGACACCTAATCGTTTCAATATTTTTTAATTAACTATAACAATTGATAAATACTACAATAAATAATTTAGAATATAAGAAACATACATTCCATAATAACAGATTATAAAATGAAATTTTGCAACTTTTAAAGTTAGATAGAACATTTGTTTAACAGTAAATGTTATTATTAAATGGCCCATAATTTATCATTAGAATTTTCTATAATTGAAAAATATGCAGTGTGTGCTTCTTGATAGAAATCCTGAAATATGCAGTACTCTTTACTAAGAAGGCGATCCGGTTGCAGATGATAAGGCGTACGCAATATTTTTGTAGGGTAGAAGAGGAAATCAATGCAACGTTGCACAAGGTTTACTTATTATTAGTGTACCAGTGCGTACATATGTATAGAATGCGTTATCTCATGCACGAGATACGAATATCTCCCTTCTACGCGAACGTATTTATACATATAAGAGATTTATTCCTACAAAACCTAGTATTACAAATTTGCACGTCCTACTGACTATTCAAATAAAAAATTCGCATCGCGTATCTATTATTGGCAACTGAGAGACGAAGTTTTAAATCAATGATAACACGAATGCAATGATAATAAAAATGTGATTTTTGGCACTTTCAGCGATGCAATTAACACGCTCTGAATACGTTTAACGCGTTTCAATGTGATAAAACGCAGGTACCGTGAACACGTAATATAGTTTGTTTATAGAAGAAATATTAAGCGTACGTTGACATTGTTGAATAAATTTTGTTTGTTCAGTGTGATCGAAAGATTTCAAATTGGATACCAAAGGAAAATGTGTTACATTAATTTTCTTATTGTTCTTTGAGAGGTACGTAAAGTCAGTTGCTA